TGTTTGGAACAATTGAGGACTAATTCATGGTAAATAGAGTACAAATAGTAAATACTGTGGCAGCCAGCCCTGTGCAGTTGTTATTGTTGGGCCATGTCATTAGTCTGTGTCGAGTTCTGTTATAGGAAAAGGCCTAAGAAATTCTTTGTTGTTAACTAATTCCTTCAAATTATTAAGTGGCTATAATTCTACAACTCTTCTTAAATCCATGAGAGAGGGGAAGACATAGGGCAAACCACTGCCCTCAAGATTGGAGAGACAGGCAAATACAAGGAGTCATGGCTTCCTGGAACACAGAATCACAAGCTGAAACCTCCTCAGGAACAGTGCTAGATAGGAAACCTGAACTGTGCTTGACAAGTTGCTGGAGGCTCACTGTGGACAACTGTGAGAGTTAAAAACTCCAGGGGCCAACGTTGTGAAATTTAAGATTTACTTCCAGCAGCTTGACCAGGTTCCCACAGTAAATGTTAGAGAAAATCCTCTCTTGCTTTTCAACATGGGGAGGGAAAAAGGAACACTTTTGAAATACACCAGAAGACTCTTCTTATAAAGGCGTGCCTTTAGGGGGAGCTAGTTAATCGGAGCCTAACCTGCTGGGGTATTATCAGAGCCTAAATGACCTGGAAGAAGAGAAATACCCAGCACTATTTCCCTTTAGCCTTCCGTATGGGAGACGGGAAATATCCAACTCTAGCCCACTCTAACCATTCTATCCCAGCGAGGGAGGAAAGAAACAAAACAAAGCAAAAACTGAGTTTATATTTATAGTCCAGAGGCGTAGGCTCACTGAAAGACTGAAACGTACTGGTAGGACTATAGAGTGCTTTCTTCGCTCCACGCATCACTGCCATATTACTAAAGGCCTATTTACAACAATTCCTTTTACCCAGTGTGTCATGTCCAGCAATCAAGAAAAAATTACAAGGCATACAAAAAGGCAAAAAGCACAGTTTGAAGAGATAGAGCAAGCATAGGAACCAGACATGGCAAAGAGGTTGGAATTATCAGACCAGGAAGTTAAAAAAGTATGGTTAATATCCTGAGGCATCTAATGGATAAAATAGACAGCATGCAAGGACAGATGGGCAATGTAAGCAGAGAGATGGAAATCCTAAGAAAGAACCAAAAAGAAATATTAAAGGTAAACACTGTGACAGAAATGAAGAATGACTTCAACGGGCTTACTTAGTAGACTAGACATGGCTGAGGAAAGAATCTCTGAGCTAGAGGATATCTCAGTAGAATCCTAGAAAACTAAAAAGATAAAAAAAACAGACAAAAAATAAAACCACCCTAGAATATCCAAGGATGATGGGACAACTATAATAGGTATAACATGAATGTAATGAGAATACCAGAAGGAGAAGAAAGAAAGGAACAGAAGAAATACTTGAAACAGTAATGGTTGAGAGTTTTCCCCTGCATTAATGTCCTAAACCACAGATCCAGGAAGTGCAGAGTCCATCAGGCAGTATAAATGCCCCCCCCCCCCAATGACACTGCGGCATATCATTTTCAAACTACAGAACATCAGAGCTAAAGAAAAAATCCTAAAAGAAGCCAGAGGAAAGAAATACACCTTACTATGGAGGAAGCTCCGTATCTACTGAAGCAACTACCTATATCCCCCCTCTTCCAAGCACTGGCATCCACCATTCTACTTCCTGCTTCTATGAATTTGACCCCTTTAGGTATCTTATTTAAGTGGAATCATGCATTATTAGTTCTTCTGTAACTGGTTTATTTCACTTTGCATAGTGTCCTCAAGGTTCATCCATGTTGTGACATATAACAGGACTTCTTCCTTTTTCAAGGTTGAATAGTATTCCATCGTGTGTATATACCACATTTTCTTTAGCCATTCAATCGATCAATGGACATTTAGGTCATTTTGTTCTTGGCTACTCTGAATATGCTGCAGTGAATATGGAAGTACAATTATCTCTTCAAGATCCTGTTAGTCTTTTTGGATAAATAACCAGAAGTGGGATTGCTGGATAATATGCTATTCCTATTTTTAATTTTTTGAGAACTTTTATATTGTTTTCCATAATGGCTATACCAGTTTACAGTCCCACCAGCAGTGGACAGGTTCCAATTTTTTCACATCCTTGCCAATACCTGTTAATCTCTGATTTTTTTGTTTTGTTTTTATAATGACCATCCTAATAGATATGTGATAATATCGCATGGTTTTGATTTGCGTTTCTCTGATGATTAGTGACGTTGAGCAACTTTTCAAATACCTGTCAGCCATTGTATGTCTTCTTAGGAGAAATGTCTATTTAAGTCGTTTGCCTATTTTTTAATCAAGTTATTTATTTGTTCTTTTGCTGAGTTGTAGGAGTTCCTAATATATTTTGGATATTAACCCCTTATTAGATAAATGATTTGCACATATTTTCTCCCATTCAGTAAGTTGCCTTTTCATTTTGTTGATGATTTCCTTTGTTGTGCAGAAGACTTTAGTTTGATATAGTCCCTTTTATGTTTATGTAGTCCCATTTTAGTTTGCTTTTGTTTCCTGTGCTTTTGGTGTCATAGCCAAGAAATTATTGCCAAATCTAGTATCCTGAAACTTTTCTGTATTTTCTTCTGAGAATTTTATAGTTTTAGATCTAACATATAAGTCTTTAATCCATTTTGATGTGATTTTTTTGGTATGTTGTAATATAAGGGTCCAGCTTTATTCTTTTGTGTGTGAATAGCCTGTTTTCCCAGCACCATTTGTTCAAGAGACTATCCTTTCCCTTTATGTAGTCTTGGCACCCTTGTTGAAGACTATTTGACCATATAAGCATGAGTTAATTCCTGGGCTCTTGTTTCTGTTCCATTGGTCTATATGTCTGGCTTTATGCCTCTTCCATACTGTTCTGATTACTGTAGCTTTGTAATGTTTTCACGTCAGGAAGTGTGAGGCCTCCAGCTCTGTTCTCCTTTCTTAAGATTGTTTTGACTATTTGAGATCCTTTGTGATTCTGTATGAATTTTAGGTTTTTTTTCTATTTCTGCCAAAAATACCATGAGATTTTGATAGAGATTTTGTTGGATCTGTAGACCACATTGGGTAGTATGGACATTTTATCAATATTAATTCTTACGATCCATGAACATGGGTGTCTTTCTATTTATTTGTGTCTAATTTATTTTCTTCAGTGTTTTTTAATTTTTAGTGTACAATTCTTTCACCTTTTTGGTTAAGTTAATTTCCTAAGTACGTTATTCTTTTTGATGCTGTTGTAAATGGCATTGCTTTCTTAATTTTCTTTACAGATTATTCGTTGTTATAGTGTATAGAAATGCAACTGGTTTTAGTATGTTGATTTTGTGTCCTGCAACTTTGATATTAGTTCTAACAGTTGTTACGTGTGTGTGTGTGTGTGTGTGTGTGTGTGTGTGTGTGTGTGTGTGTGTGTGTGTGTGGTCTTTTGGGTTTTCTCCATATACGGTCATGTCATCTGTGAACAGATTATTTTACTTATAACTTTCTGCTATGCCGTTTATTTCTTGCCTAATTGCTGTAGCTAGGACTTCAAAACTATATTGAATAGAAGTGGTGAGAGTGGACATCTATCATGTTCCTCATCATCTTGGAGAATGTTTCATGTGCACTTAAGAAGAATGTGTATTCTGCCGCTGTGGGGTGGAACACTCTGTATATGTCTGTTAAGTCCATTTGATCTGTATTGTTCTTCAAGCCATCTGTTTCCTTATTGATCATCTGTTTTGATATTCTGTCCGTTATTGAAACTGGGATGTTGAAATCTCCTATTATATTGCTGTATATGTCTCTGTTTATTTCTGTCAGTGTTTGCTTTAAATATTTGGGTGCTCTGATGTTGGATGTATATATATTTATAATTACATATTCCTGATGAATTGACCTTTTTGTCATTATATAATGCTCTTTTTTGTTTCTTGTGACAGTTTTTGACTTAAAGTCTATTTTGTCTTACAAAAGTATGGATATAAATATGGCCACTCCTCTTTTTTAGTTACCATTTGCATGGAATATGTTTTTTCCAGTCTTTCTCTTTCAGACTCTATGTGTCCTTAAATCTAAAAGCTGAGTCTCTTGTAGGTAGCACATAGCTGGATCTTTGTTTTTTTAAATTTATGTAGCCATGCTATGTCTTTTGATTGCTAACTTTAATCCATTTTCATTTAATTACTGAGAGGGAAGGACTTAATATGGCCATTTTGTTCATTTGCCTGTCTTGTAGTTTTTTGTCACTTTATTCCTCTCTTGTTGTCTTCCTTTCTGGTTCATTGATTTTTTTTTGTTATTGTGACATGCTTTGAAATCTTTCTCATTTCCTTTTATGTATCTTCATCCTCTATAGGTGTTTTCTTTGTGCATACTATGGGTCTTACCTAAAACATCTTATAGTTTTAATATATTTTAAGTTGATAACAGCTTTACTTCAATAACTCTACTCTTCTCTCCCCCTCATCACACTTTGTTATTGATGTCACAGATTACACCTTTTTATATTGTGTATCCATCCACTAACATATTTTTATAGTTATTCCATGGGTTCCAAAAAAATGTATACAAATGGACACTTTGGTCAGTGTTGCTCAAGTGTAGTAGTTCACCGTAATCAGAAGTGTCTGGGCGCTGATGGTAACCCCTTTGAGCACCTCCTGTACTTGCAGAAGTCAAACGTGACTTGTATTCATTTTTTGTTATTGGTATATATTATTACAATTTTAATAGTTTTTTTCCTTTCTTAAAATGTGTATACATGTTTTTGGCACCCTGTGTAGTTATTTTTATACTTCTGTTTTGACTTCTGTACTAGAATTAAAAGTGATTGTTTTAGTTTATTTTTAAGTGATTTCTTTTTAGAAGTGATTTGTAGAGTTTAGTATGTTGCACATTTTTATGATCAAGTTCTAAATGTTTCAGAATTAAAACTTCATGATAAACTTGAACATATGTTTATATACTAATTGAATAAATCTAACAAATAAATGTTTTTCTGTTTAAACAGAATTTTGAGACTGATGGTCAGCCATATAGAAGAATACATTAAGCCTATAGTTTTCTGAAGAATCAGTTCAAAAGATCCAAAAAATACAAAAGGTAATGATGGGGTTGTGTATTGGAATGCATTTTGAAATGACATTTTTCCAGAAAAAAATATTTTTAAAAATCAGTAAGTTATTTTGATACACTAATTTGAGGAAAGTTTTATTTAAAAATTTTTTGTGTTGTATTAATTTATCCCAAAATATTGTGCCAGCTGTCTTCAGATACTATTTTGGCTACTGAGAATACAATGATGAACAAGACGGAAGCTGTCCTTGCTCTCATGAGGATTGCATTCTAAAGAGAGGGAGGGCAAATAATAAACAAATGAAAAATATCTTGTGTCCTATGCAGAGAATTAAAATAAGGTAATGTGATAAAGACTGGTGACTACTTTAATTAGGTAGTTAGAGAAGCACTCATTGAAGAATAATATTTCAGTTGAGATCTGAATGGCACAAATGTGCCAACCATGTGAAGATCTGAGAGGTTGCCTTTGTTGGGTAGTTATTATAGGAGGCAGTGAAAAATGACCATGGAATGCTTGAGGAATAGAAAGCGCAAACGTGGCTGGAGTATAAGTGGGGAAAGAGTATATGGAGTTTAGGTTGGAGAAGAAAAGTGGAGAGGAGCAAATTTACTGAAGAAAATCAAGTGTTTTGCTATATGATATTTTAGACGCCTGTAAAATCTGTTGAAACATCAAAAAGGTAGTTGGATGCATAACTCTGAAGTTGAGAATCTGGTCTAGGGGTATGGAATTGGGAGTTATTGCCATAAAGAGATACTTAGAGTCATGTCTGGATGAAATTATCTAGGGAGTGCACCTAAATTGAGAAAGATTTAACCCTGGACATGCCAGTGTTAATCAGAGCAGAAGGAGCAGCCAGCGAGATGGATGGAAAAGCAGGAAAGTGTTCTGCCACAGAAGCCATGAAGAAGTATTTAATAGATGTAGAAGTGGTCAGTTAGATCACATGCTACTAAGATGTGAAATAGAGAGTAAAGCAGCCATTAGATTGGGTAACATGAATGTCACTGATAACTCTAATATGAGTGAACAGTCTCAGTGAAGTGTGTGAGGATTGAAGCCCTGATTAAAGTTAATGAAGAGAGAATGAGAAACTTCCAGTTAAAGATGGCAGACAATGCAGTTAAATTCCATTTCCTCCTAAAACTTCATTAAAGCTGAAGTAAAAGGATTTTTACAGAAGACAGAACTTCACAAGAATAAAGAGAATGGGAGAGGAAACAGTTGCAACACAGTTTTAGAACCTGAAAAGCAAAAGGAAGAGTGGTAACTGTCTTGTAGATCCTAGAATCGCAAGCCAACTGTGGGAATGCTGAGAAACAGTTAGTGGTACTGTAGAAGTTGTAAAATGTTCAGGAATTGAAAGCACTATTCTGCAAACAGGAGTGAGGGTGGAACTAAAAGCAGGATGATTTGTTGCAAAACTGTTTAAGAGATGTTTCTACTCCATACATCCTTCTCCTGACTTTGGAAACCTAGGCAACTACCCATTCTTTTTTAAAGATTTTTATTGGGGAATTGGGGGGATGGGTACAGCGCTGGGGAATTGGGGGAAGGAGAACAGATAAGTTGCTGTCCTTTTTGTTCTTCAGTCTACTTGTGGAGGACGTTGCTTCACTGGCCCAAGTTGGCACCATCATT